GGGGGGGGGAGGGGGGGCTTCTTTCAGTCGTTGTTGTTTATCATTCTTCTCGTGTGCAGCTTCCTTCGCTTCGCACCATCAGCCTTCCCCTTTTCGACACAAGCCGCTTGGCAGTTAAGACATGAGAGATGCCACGGGGGTGCGAGAGAAGCTCACTGCCCCACATATATACAAATACACGCGCAGAAACAAAACAGTGGTGCACCTCAGCCTCCTCTCCCCCAAAACCTCCCCTCCCTCCCTCACTCACACTCCGGCTTCCGCTGCTGGCGGCGCCTCTTCTGCCGCTGCTCAATCAATGTGGCAGCAACCACAGGGCCCACCATCCTCCCGTCATTGCGGCTCTTTTTTATTTTCCGCCATCACCGGCCACAAGGGGAAAGGAAAAGCAACAACAAAANNNNATGCACATAGGCACTGGAGGAACAAATGATAAGGAAACCACCTCGTCTCCTCCACGTGTGTTCTTTCCCCTGCCTTCTGTGTGTTTGTTTGCTTCTCGCCCCCGCCGCATCCTCCTGCAGTCCCGAGTGAAAAAAAAAAAGGACCGCAATCACGACAGCGATAAACAAAGCAGAAAATAGATGTGCCAGATGCAAACGCCAGAGCAAAAAAAAAACAATGAATAACACATGATTAGCCATGCACATCGTAAATATGGACAAATGCGCATCCATAACAAGAGCGAGCGGCTCAGTGGACACAGGTGGAGAGCCCGCAGATCACGGCAGAGAAAAGAGCCTGAAGGAATATACGGTGCGCACCCAGGAGGCCGCCTCTCCCTCTTCGCCCCAGTCAGAGGCCGCCTTCGTGTCCGCCCGGCTCCCCCCTCCACCAGCCCCCGCGCAGAGAAACGCGGAGGAAGAAAGGGAAAAAATTTTCTTTTTAAAAAAATGAACAGGGGGAAAGAGATGAGGAACATCAGCGGGGGCGGCCTACTCTCGCTGGACGCCCGCCCCCGCGTTTTCGTTTCATAGCTGTTTTTTTCCTTTTTGTTTTGCTTCTGGTTGATTTTATGTTGTTGTTGCTGCTGCTGTTTGCACATGTGTTTGTAGATTCTCTCTCTTTTCTTTTTCCTTCCATTCCCTTGCGCTCTGGCCTTCCACCGCGAATCTTCTTCCTCTAACCTGCCTCACTTATGCTCCACTCTCCGTGTTATTTACGCGCTCACAGTCAGCCATGTGACGATGCGCCTCCAGGGAGTCACTGGCGAGGCACATACCCAGGCGGGTGGGGAAACAAATGATGATAACAATGCTTAAAGGCGGAAAGCAGGGGTCTAAAAGATCCCTCTAGGACGACCCTAAAACGGTCTCTCTCTCTCGCTCGCTCACATCACTGTTACAGACACTTCTTCGCTATATATATATATATATCTATATATATTTATCAAGGACCATTCTTAATAATCTCTGCTGGCCGGTCGCGCAACGCGTAGTGGAGCTGCTTGATCACAGTCGGCTCCACTGGGTGCTTTTCCATCAGCGCCACGGCGTGCTCGACGCCACCGTACACCCGCATGCCGCGGTATCCCTCTGCCTGCATGTTCTTACGCATTAGCGGAGGTGGTAGAGCCTCCGTGTTGAGGAAGGACTTGCTCATATATCTTCCGTTCTCGTGCTCCATGGTGCCACTGAAGCGGTAATCACCATCGTATGTGAGGGCAAGGGTGTAGAACTTGCCCATCACAGCCTCCTTCACGTCATCAAGAACTTTCGTCGGGGTCAACACGGGATTGCTTGGTACGGATAGCTGATGTGCGTCGTTTGCACCCCACACGTATAGTTTCCCTTCATCACTGATGCCAAAACTGGTGAAGGGGCCACAGCCAATACGTGTCATGTGTGCCTGCAGGGCAATCTTCACGGGAACGTGGTGATCCTCTGTGCTGCCAACACCGAGTCGGCCATTAGCACCAAGGCCCCAGGCAAAGATCTCACCAAGTGCATTCAGCGCTAGCGCGTGCCAAGATCCCGCGGCCACTGTTATAATACCGCTTAAACCCGATACTTTCACCGGCAACAAGATGCTGGCTTCGCTATCGGATCCCAACGAAGTCATAAGAAGGTTCTTGGGAACAATTGACGGAGGAGGATGGAGCCCGTTGCCGCAGCACTCAATACTACCCCAAGTGTACACATCCCCTGTTGCGCTGAGTGCCATAGCAAAGAAGCAGCCACATGAGATTTGAATGATCATTTTATCTGACAACCATGTAATTTCCTTTGGCTCAGCTATACGCGTTTTCTTTGGATCAACACCTATTCCACATTGGCCATACACATTGTTTCCCCACGTGAAGACGCGCTGTCCGTCAGTAAGAGCTGCGACGAAAGAAACACCAGCGCTAACTTGTGTGATGACGGTTCTGGAAAGGTACCCAACACGCATAGCGTGTCTTACGACAGGCACTTTATCGGGAGTGAAATCCTTCACGTTGTGAAGATCCACTCCCAGCTGTCCCCATCCACCCATACCCATGGCGTAACAACAACCGCGACGATTCACCAAGATTGAAAATCCGTGACCCAATCCTGCGCACAAGAGTCCTTCCTTCAACTCGATGGCATGAAGTGCAGTTTCTACACCGCGGTGGGGTAATCCAAGAAAAACCATTGTCATATTTTTGGGTAAGGCGAGGGAGAAATTGTGGCAACTTCCACCAGTCATCCAGAGTGTTGTGTAGTTGTCCATGATATGAAATCCTTGTACTAGGCGCATACCGTAGCCAGATCCGACCCCTAAGCCCAAACCAGTGCCATAGGTGATGACATCACCATTATCAAAAAGTAGTACGGTATGGTGGCGACCACATGTAGCCGATAATACTTTTCGATTTTTGGGAGTTTTAATGCGACGACATGTAGTGACCATCATCTCACCGACAACAGCACACTGTCCTCCTTGGTTGTCACCACACACATAGGCTTCACCATTGTCAGTAACAAAGCAGGTGTGGAAGCCGCCACATGAAGCCTCAACCACTCTAGAGGGCATTGTTGTAATTTCCTTTGGAGTAATAACATCTTCCTCACCACCGTGACCAAGACGGCCATTCTTTCCCAAACCCCATGTATACACATTTCCCTGTGCACCGATGGCAACAGCGTGCCACGGCCCTACACGTAACTGTGTTATTGATTTTCTTTCAAGGCATTTGACTCTGACAGGGTCAATGACAATAGTCCTTGACTCGCTATCAGCCTGCACCACTTTGAAGGAACTGCTTGGCAATTGGGACCGAATTTGTTCCTCAGGTCCAAGAAGATTTATGTATCCCCAGCCGTACACTGCTCCTGATGCGGTGAGCGCCAATACGGTGAAATTGCCACAGCCTACCTGAATAATCTTTTCGCCTGGAATACTGCGGCGTTCAGGGCAAGGGGAGCACTGTTGTTCAAGGTTGCGCGAACACTGAGCGTAGTTATTCGCGCCCCAAAGGACAATTTCTCCACGCCGCGATAATGCCGCAAAAAAAGCATAGCCTCCTCTCACATCTACAAGAACATCTTGTGGTTCAAATTGCGGTAATTCAATCTGCACAACAGCAATTGGAAGACCAACCTCGTTGGCAGTAACAAGAGGGCACATATTCGGATTGGGCACGCCAAGCTCACCCCAACTCCCGCCACCCATCGTAATAAGTGTCCCGCGACATCCCAGCCATACGGAAGCCATTGAAGAACAACCTATCCTCAATGGCTTGTCACGGCCGCCAATCATGAGAGGGGTAACCAAGTTAACGCGTGAGCCTGTACCAAGTTGGCCTTCTCGGCACAAGCCCCACCCAACTACCACACCGTCCTCATGAATGAATCTGCGGAGGAGGCGGTTCACCTCTCCTGAAGCACTGCGCAAATCCGCATAGGCATCAGCCAAAGGAGCTTTTGATACGTCCATGGGGCACCAATATGCACACTCCTACTTACAAAAGCTTCTGTTGTTTATTTCTATCTGTTTAGTTCAAACGAGTAAAGAGAGGATATGATGGAAGGCTATACATATGTAGACAAGTGCACATACAGAGCAAGAAATAGGTTAGGAAGAGAAACGCCGAGGAGTTGCCGCCACCCCGCACACACACTCACGTGTTCTGAGATAGAAGAAGAGGGGAATCCGCATTACCTACATAATTCCCACTCTGTCTTTGTCTCTCTGCCCACCCACCCCCTTCAGAGCATCTTGTTATGCTCTTCAATCATTCAAACTCCTCTCTTCTTTCCTGTCGTGTTCAACAAACTCAAGAGCACCACAGTGAATACGAAGAAAACGTGGTCTTTTTGTTGTTGTTTTTATTTTTGCTTTGCCGTTCGTTCAGCAAAGGCGCACAAGCGTGTCACGGTGTGGCAGAGATGAGACAACTGCCACACAACCGGTATTTGCAGTACGAGGCGCCCCCCCAATGTCCGTGGGGGACATGGGAAAAAAAACGGGCCGCTACGGGAATTGAACCCGTGACCTCCTGTACCCGAAACAGGAATCATACCACTAGACCAAGCGGCCGACGTCGGCCGTCGGGCCATTTCGCTTGGGGTGGGGGGAATCACATCGCCCTTCCTCCGCCAATTCACTTTTTTTTTTTCTCTCCTCCTTCGTCTTCGCCTCCCGCCGCGCCTCTTCACGCCCGCGGCGGTCGCGCGACAAGACGCGTCGGGGCGATGTGCACATCGATGTTGCACGACTGCCCCTCCTCGTTGTACGCGTGGAGCTGAAACGTGCCACGCATCACACCAGAGGGCTCACATAGGCTCGCACCGCTCTCGTACGTGTGCGACTCCCCGGGTGCCAACATAGGTAAGTTGCCCCCCACACCAGGACCAACGACTTCAAGAACGAGGCCGGATTCTGGATTGAAGAAGACCAAATGACGTGAAAGCAATTGAACATGCCACTTCTTTTTATTTCGAGGCGGACTGTAGTTTCGGATGGAAACAAAGTAGCGAAAGATGTACTCCGTCTTTGTGTCACCGTCAAGGGTACTTGAATCCGTGCTATCGGTCTCATCTTCATCTGGAGTGTCATAACCTTCGTCACCTGTAACATCACCATTTTCGTCAGTCTTTCTCGAGCACACGTAGTCTGTCCGCAGTCTCACTTCAATATGGTCTGTTACCGACACTGTGTGTATAGGAATGGAAGCGCACAACAAACCATATTCCTCACTTGTGATATTAGAACTACCTAGTACCAATGGACCCTGTCCAGCGGCACTTCGGAATGGGCTAGTAGTAGCAGTAGCAGAAGCACATGTCGACGCAGCCATGCAAAGCATCGCCTCCCGCATTAGGGGAAACTTGAAGGTAACTCGTGTGTTTTTAGGGTGCATGGGTTCAGGAGGAATCATGTAGCGGTAAGGAGAAAGTTGTTGTGGGTTTTTGCACACCAATACCTGACGTGAAATTTTTTTCAAGTTATGGCTTATAGAACTTTCAACCAAGATCGTTCCCTCACCCAAAGAAACCCCCTCATCATCATCATCATAATCATTGCCATCATCACCGTCACAGTCTTCGGAGGCGGGCGTCACAACTTCACGTTTCACATGTTTCCCTGGCATCCTGGCTAACGTCTCACCGCCCTTGATCTCTCTCACCGACGGCGACGCCGACGCCGACAAAGCACTCTGTGGTGTCGTGTCTTCTCCTTGCCTCTTCACAGCATAGTAGGGCGTTTTGGGGGGCACTGGTACTGCTTCACTGAGCCGCCTGAGTGCATCAAATCCAGAGGCCAGCCGAATTGATACTCTATCACCTGCGTCACCAGTAATGCCCGGACGCAAAAACAGAGATCGCACGACTTGTTGAGGTGTGTCACCACAGCCTGCGGCGGTGAAGTCCTCCATCCTTAGCATGATCCCAAACACGGAGAAACACACCTTTTCAGGTCCTCCATATATCAGAGAAGCTTTGTGAACCCGCTTGAGAACCTGCCGATACGTCGACCTTACCAAAGACATCTAAAAGCCTTTTCTAAACGCCTGAAATGATGATGGAAAAGTGCTCTCACCCCCCCCCCNCCCCCCCGTGGCGTGTGAAGAGCGATCGAAGTGGCAAACAAACAAATAAATAAATAAGAATGCATGAGAAAGATATAACAGACCGCACAACAAGTCGAAGTCAGAACAGGAAGAGAATGTTCAAGAAATATCTTTTCATCGGCAACGCATGCTTGTTTGTTCGTTCATTTATTTATTTTTTGGTTTTTGTTGCTATTTTTTCGTTCGCGTTACAATCCAGTTTATCAGAAATAAAAATAACGACAAGAAAAAGGTTAAAATGTTGAATCACATACACGAGGAGGATGAAGAATTGAATGCTTCACGCGCGTCTCTCCTTTTCTTCGTGGCGTGGTTCATCTGTCACCTTCTCATTTTCAGTTTTCATGGACTGGAGGCAACTCTTCATGTCGTTAACGGCGGCATGCACCTCCTCAGCACTCGGGCGGTCCCACTCCACCAGCACAGCTAGCGTATCGAATCCACGAAAACAACGAGAGAAGAAGCCCTCTGACGGATTACTCCCTGAAAACAACGTTACTCCACAGTTATTCTCCGCCCCTTGATTCGCCTTTGGGACTGACTGTGGGGTAAAGAAGTGGAGGACTACTTGCTCGTCCCCCCGTTGAAAATGACCAGTAACAGCACTACTGCCATCTTCTTTTATCAGCACTCCGCAATTGGAACTAAACGCTGCGTCGCGAACACCACCACAAATAAATGTAGGGTACACTACTACGGATGACTCACTCCAAATACCAGGATCAGTGCTATCTATCGGTGGTTGACCAGCACCTTCATAAGGGTTTACACCGCACTGCCTATTCTCGTTCAAGCCCCAGACAAAAAGATCACCAATGTCGGTAATTACATATGTGTTCAATGGGCCGCACCCTATTCGTCGTACAGCGTGGGCGAACGTTACTATCACAGGAGTCTCCACTACCCCATCGGATACCTCACCATTCCCCAATTGACCATTTCCCCAAGTATATATAACATGATCACAGGAAAGTGCAACAGCATGTGTCATACCTGCCGCCACTTCCACTATATTATGCAACTCCTTCAGTATCATAGGCTCCATTACATTAGATGTTTGGCTGCCAGAACGACCACAATACGAGGCCTCACCCCACGTAAAAACATCACCATCCTGGGTGAGGGCCACCGCGAAAGTGCCACCACAGGCGACTTGGACAACATGCAGATAGTGTAAGGCCACAATTTCACGAGGAGCAAATACGGATGTACAGAGTGGCACAGCTTCACCGTGTCCCAGCTGACCGTGAGAGTTCCATCCCCAACTATACACACGGCCACTAGTGCTGATGCCAATTGCATACGCAAGACCACACTCCAGCGCACACAACTGGACCCGGTGAGGCAAAGACACTTTCTGGAATGCGGTGGTGTTAGGAGCGGCTTTGGCATCACCAAGACCCAGCTGACCCTTATCAGACTGACCAATTCCCAACACTTCACCTGCTTCAGTGAGGATAAGCAAGAATCCATTTCCCCCTGATACGGCACGCACCCCATCTTTCAGAATTGACCGGTTCAGATTGTTTAACCTCTCATCAATGGACTTTCCAAAAGAAGATCCAATAAGCTGCAGAGTGAAGGAACGTAGGAGACCGGATGCCATGCCGTGGGTTGCGCCACTTGCCAGTGACAGAACCAGAAAGCTCTGAAAACAGTGTCGGGGCACTCCAAATCGTGCCCCGTGTCCCAAGCCAATACCACACGATCGCAGAGTCCCACATGTCATGACATCACCATCCTCCAGCAAGATGCACGTGTGCTCACGCCCACACGAGACCGCAATTGCACGTTTTGGTAAGGTGAGAGGTTCCGCAACGGTTCGGGGTGTCTCCCCTCGAAGACCCAGTTGACCACATGTATTCTCACCAAAGACAAGCACAAGTCCTGTCTTTGTGAGCACAGCCGAATGAAAAGAGCCACAGCTAGCATCTATTACCACGTGGCCTGTCAGTGAATCAATGCGGCGCAATTTCATACCACCGCGATCATCACCGTGTCCCAGGCGTCCATGGCGATTCACACCCCATGAGTACACCTCTCCCACCGACGTTATAGCGAGACAATGCCAGGGGCCTGCTCGAAGTGCCACAATCTGACCATGATTAGGCCTAAAAACAACTATGGTCTTTGCACACTTGGTACGGTTCGGGGTCTCTGTTTCTCGAAGTTGTTCAGGAGGCACTGATACACCAAGCATTGAGGACAATCCCCACGTCCCTAGACTACCACAAGAAAATAATAAGGCAGCGAAAAAGCTTCCACATGCCACGTCGGTAATGAAACCACAGCTTCCGGGAATATCCACAGTCACAGGCCTTGGCACAACCTTCAGATCCCGCACCAAGCATTGACCATAGACGTTCTGTCCCCAGACAGAAAGGCGGCTTTTTTCCAAAGCAACTGCTACCGCAAACGCCGAGCCCGCCTCAATCTTAGCCACCTTGTCGTCACGTCGAAGTGTTACACATTGGAAACTCTGTTTATTTTCTTGGATGTCATTACGTACTGGGGATGACATTTCTCTCGATTGTGCAGTCCCCAACTGTCCCCAATCATCGTTGCCACAGCTATACACTTTATTATTAAGTGTTATGAAGTAGCAAGACTGTGCGCCACAGGACATAGCAACCACAGGAACAGGTGGGGTCCACGTGATGGGCCATAGTATGTACGCATCCGCTGGCACTAGCTTCGTCTCTATATTCGGCAATGGATTCGATGCACTGTCGCCCTGCACGGCAACACTAGTCCCCCACAAGAGCAAAGAACATCGATCAAGGTAGCGGGCAAACAAGGGACTCCACTTCTGCTCAAAAACCAACGCTGCACCGATGCGGCGCGATGACGCAGGAGACGTATTCTGAGGAAGGGTCGGTCGCCTATCAGGAATGACGATGTCAACTACAGCTACGGGTAAAGAGGAGGATCCCAAGTATGGATACTTGGGTGTGCAACCCAATCCAAAACGCTTGGCAAAACTAATGATAGGTGTTGGGAACTGCGGCGGCATCCACACGTGCTTCTCCGTCCTGGCGTCAAAAATAGGATTGTGACTGAAGGGCAAGAAAGATGGCCTCTTGGGTAATTCGCGCCAGCGTCGGTTGCTTACTCTGCTGTTCGTCAACCCAGTAGCAGGTCCACGTGGATTACCGCCTCCTCCCTCAGCGGCGTTGCCCCGCGGTGGCGTAACGGGAGCTGGCAGCTCTCTTCGCTCAGGGTGCTCGGTTGCCTCAACGTTCGCCGGCACTGTTAAAATGTCCCCTACGCGAATGCGAAACAAACGAGTTACGTAAATGACAAAACGCATTACGTGGTTCACCATGCCTGGATCTGCCTGATAGAAACGATCCAGATTCATAGCTCGGCAGCCATCTATACCCACACTTTGTAGTGATCTGCGAGGTTCTGCTGCAAACTCCCTCCCATTCACGACTGCCGACATCATGATGCGCAGCATCAACACACACTGTTCCATCGACACCCGTTGGGTATTATTCGCTGAGTTGGATTGCGATTTGCGACCCTCATCGAGAAGCACCTTGACGATGTAATGGTACAGGCGCCCCTCCGTGGCGTCAGCTGACAAAGCGGTTTGTCCCTCTACGCACATCAGAATGCTCGGGAGAACACTGTAATCGCCTTCCACAAGTCGCTGGAAGTAAGCCTGCATGGTGCAGAACCAATTCACAGGAAAACGCTCCTTCCTGCAAGGAAGGCGAGTGAGAACTTGAGCGGGTTCGTGTGCGTGCGACTGTGTATACCTATATGTGTCGTTATAACGTATATATCAGCACTAGCAGTAGGCAGAGAAAGATGAATGGGTGAGAGAAGAAAAAGAGCGACGCTGTTTCACCTTCACTCTTCACCACATTTGCAAAGGCCGCGTAATAGATGAATCCCTATCACCAGCCAAACAATTTAGTCTCCACCCCCAACACATCGCGCTGTGCATGCCCCATCATCATATCATGCCGCGCTTTATTTTATCAATCCATGCCGGGTATGATTCTGTGCTATCAGGCAGCACCACAACCTCGGCCTCGTCACACCGCTCCACCTCAATGCCCCGTGTTGCTGTCGCTGTCAGTCGTACCTCCTGTCCTTTCTCATGATTTGAGTTCATCACATCCGCCGCAGCCATAGCGCTGTGGTAGTCATCAAACTTCACAAATGCAGTGCCGAGAAAGCGTCCCGTACGACGGTGCCGCACGAAACGCACGTCCACTACATTGCCGAACTGAGAAAAGACCGTGGCGACGTCTCCCTCTGATAGACTAACGGCCGCGACACCATCAGACGTAGCACCAGAGGCAGGGGCGTGATCAAGGTGTCGCACAACGATCCACGAAGACTTGCCAAGAAGGTCATGGTACGCCGCGGTGTAGGCGCCCGACTGCCCACTCTGGTATCGCTGCATTCCCTTCTGCATCACACCGACCCACAAAGGTCTGTCCCTTGACTCATGGAATGCAGAAATACAGAGAAGCGTCACAATTTGCTGTCGCGATACACCTCAGCAAAGTCCAGTGTCTTCAAAGAGAGAGAGAGAGAGATGCATCACACATGCAGCTCCACACAGAACAAAAACACAGAGTTGATGTTTCTTTTTTTTTT